ACGTGCTGAGGTGGGAGGGAGTGGTGGGAAGGATCATGGAAGCAATTTAACATCATCAAACCCAAAATAGAAACAAGGAAAGGTAAACAAACCTGACAGTTTCGACAGGAGATCTGGGCGCAGCCGCCCTCGCGCTGAATTAGGTAGCTGCAGCTGGGACACTTCTTGATGTCGTACTCGCTAAGGACGGCCCTGATGAAGAAAAAGTTATGAGGATTAAAATTCGAAACCAAAAATAGAAATCGATCTCCCAAAATCGCTTACTCATTGAGATCGGCGCAGTTGTGACCGCCCTCCAGCGTCTCCAGGCGAATGTGACAGGTGGCGCAGAAGGCTTCGAGGCACTTGTGAGGAGAGGGGAGTGGTAAATTAAAACGTTACTGAAAAGTACTCAAGTACAAAAGTGGTGGTACTCACGTTTGGACACCTCACCGCCTTCTTCGCCGCCGCCGTCTCCGCCTCTGATGTTGATGATTGTGCTGCGCTGGAGTTCTCTTCTTCTTGGTTGATGGTATTCGAAATGGACTTTGTCTCCTCGGTGATCATCACCTCCTCATCGTCCTCTTCAACGTCAATTACTTCTGCTTCAGAAGACCTCCTCTGAAGCCTCTTCTCCTTCTTCGCCGGCGCCACTACGTGGACGTCGAAGATGCTGTCGCAGAAGGGACAGCGGACCTTGCTCTGATTCGCCGCCAGGTACTCATTGAGGACCTTGTTGTCCCGCATCACCTGGTACTTCGCCTGGTGGGCGACGCTGACCAGGTCGGCCACCTCCTCCGCCTCGATCTGACTGTTGGCCATGCACCGGTGGGAGGGACAGAAGATGTGCAGGTGGCCATTGTCGATCATGAACTGGAAGTACTTGCAGAGGCACTGCAAGAAATGTCAAGAAAACTTGTCATTTAGAACACCAAAACAAAACAGATCAAAGCAAATGAGCGTCAACTTACGTCTCTGCAGAAGGCGCACTGGCACTTCTTCAGCACGTGCAGTGACTCGAGGGCAAACTCGTCCAGGCAGATGCCGCAAACGGTGGCACTGTTGTTGTTGCTGCCATTCATTGAGTCATTGTGACTGTTGCTGAGAGCGGCTTCGTTTTTACTAGAAGAATAGAAGAGAAAAGAAAGGGAGAGAATATTCAGGGTAAATAAAAGCAAAGACGGGAGAATGAATGTAGTTCAGTAGGTCAACAATAGACGGTGAAGGTCATGGTCTAAAGAGGAAAGGAAAGGAAAACATTAAAGGACAGGTAATCTTACCTGGCGCTGGGAATCGGCGACGAAGTGTCCACCGCTCGGTACATGTCGTACATTCTTTGGTTCTATCTTGGCTGGCCAAATGGTTCTATTATGCTTGATGGCTGACTGACTGAAGT